TAATTTGATTATTACATTTAATTGTTTATTAAATTTTAAGAATTACGTGAATTAATAATTATATGCCATTGAATCATTTAATGATTTTAATGAATAAATTATTAATAATGAGTTGATATGTGACTTATCCCATGACTACTTTGTGTTTTCGCATTGAGCTGGCTACTACCGAATTGTTGAAATGGCTTCAGTTTCTCCAGGGTCCAGTGGGACTGAGTAGCTGGGTGTGAAGGAAGTGACCAGCAATGAAACATTCGGGCACGATGTTTAAATCGAGGGTAATTGAGTACTTGGGAGAAAGACCAGGCTGGTTCTGTTCCTGTAAAGATTTCTAGTCTCGTGAATGCTATGCAGGGCCGCTGTGAGCTAGAGGGAACTCGATGACACCTAACAACACGCACACAACGTAATCACTGTGTGCCTGGGTCTGATTTAGAAAACAGACAGTGGTGGGAGGTCCCCTGCTTGAAGCTAATGAAGGACCCAGAACCATCGTCATCTTTTGACTCCAGTTTCCCACAACTCTCACTCACCACATTGCCGGGGAAGAGCTGTTGGTAGGGTAGAGTTGAGGTGCTTCTGAAATGTGCTGTCCTGGGACTAAATAGTACCTACCAGTTACGTGGTGCCCACTGGCTGTTTAGGTTCTGCCATTCTTCTGGAAATGACAAGCCACTGTGCCCTTCCTGGGCATCGGGCAGACTTCAGTGTTGTCTCTGGGAGACACCTGTGGCCGCCTGGTGTTCTCTGCTTTCAGCCCAGATCCATCTGACTCCAGCAGTGATATGACCACAGAAGCATGGCCCATCCAGGATGCCGGCCACTCACTGCTGGCTGTGTCCACTCAGCTCAGGAAGGCCAGGCTCTTCCTGTTCTCAAGGGACTTATGACCCCATGAGGAGACAAATGTGCCAATAAATTACGACAAAATCTGTATTTCAGAAGAAATGGTCATATGATTAATACAAATAGTGCTCAGTGAAGGAAAAAGCCTTTATTCCAATTTCTGTTTTCAGAGTTTGTTTTGTTTTGTTTTCTTTATTACATTTTATGAGGTATAGTTGGCCAGGAAAAGCTTTGGTTGTGATCTTATCCTTTTCTGTTGGTGGCGGGTATTGGAAATGACCCGACAATTCGGACCCACAATGACCTGTGTAACAGAGCAGAAACGTCCCCCTGGGTAGTGCTGGCTGTCGTGTGTCTCCTACAGCACTACTGCTGAAGCCTGGGTGAGCTGAAGGAGAGACCAAGGGGCCTGCTCCCCGTCACACACCTGTCCTGGCTCACTCCACACACACATACACACCTGTCCTCGCTCACCCTCCACATCACACACCTGTCCTCGCTCACCTATCACACACACACACCTGCCCTGGCTCACTCCCCATCACACACCTGTCCTCGCTCACCCCCCGCATCACACACCTGTCCTCGCTCACTTATCACACACCTGTCCTCACTCACCGTCCCCATCACACACCTGTCCTCGCTCACCCTCTGCATCACACACCTGTCCTTGCTCACCTATCACACACCTGTCCTCGCTCACTCGTCCATAACACACCTGTCCTCACTCACCTATCACACCTGTCCTGGCTCACCCCCCCATCACACACCTGTCCTCGCTCACCCTCCCCGTCACACACCTGTCCTTGCTCACCCTCCCCATCGCACACCTGTCCTCGCTCACCTATCACACACCTGTCCTGGCTCACCCCCCCATCACACACCTGTCCTCGCTCACCCTCCCCGTCACACACCTGTCCTCGCTCATCCTCCCCATCACACACCTGTCCTCACTCACCTATCACACACCTGTCCTCGCTCACCTATCACACACCTGTCCTCACTCACCCTCCCCGTCACACACCTGTCCTTGCTCACCCTCCCCATCGCACACCTGTCCTCGCTCACCTATCACACACCTGTCCTGGCTCATCCCCCAACACACACATGTGTCCTCGCTCACCCTCCCATCACACACCTGTCCTTGCTCACCCTCCCATCACACACCTGTCCTCGCTCACTTTCTGTATCGCATACCTCCCTTAGTTCACTTTTTTCTCTACTCGCCATCTTGTGTGTTTGCAATCCAGTCCTATGAGCTGTACCTCTGCCAGCAAGTCCAGGAATTTACTAAAGATGCGAACCTAAAATCAAGTCTTTGTTCCTTTTACAGCCATCATTCCGAAATCAGTAAACAAGCTTTAAACCCGCATTCTACCCTGGCACATTCTGATACTAAAAGCTGTACTCTGATCTGGAGGTGGTGATCATGTGCCGTGGAGTCACTTCTGACTCTCAGTGACCCTGCAGAGGGTTTCTGAGGCTGTAAATGGTTACAGGAGTAGAAAGCCTCCTCTTTCTCCCCAGGAAGCGCTGGTAGTTTTGAACTGCCGACTGTGAGATTAGCAGCTCGGCTTTTAACCACTATGCCACCAGAGCTCCTTATACTTAATCTGGTGAAGGCAATTTTGTCCCCACTCACTTTTAAAAAAAAAAATTTAATTTAAAAAAAGTGCAAGTTTTGTGTACATCACTAGCCTATGACATATATTTGTTTAAAATTTACAAAAACAATGAGATTAAAATGAAGAAACCTTATGGAAAATCTCAGCAAATAGCTGATGAAAGCATATGCTGAAAATGTCTGTCTTCTGACTCCATGTGTGGCTTTCAGACTTTCCTTCTCTTACTCTTCAGTTGTACCCACCCTCTGGGATGTGGGAGGCTCGAAGGGGATGGAAGCTTCAGCACAAGCAACCCACTGTAAGCACAGACTTCCCATGGTATTTTTAAATGCATGTTTTACAATAATCTCACATATTCGGCACCCATGGGAACAACAGTTAAGAAATCAAAAGACTCATTACATTAGGCAAATCTGCTGCAAAAGACCTCTTTAAAGTGTTAGAGAGGAACGGATGCCTCAGCCCAGCCTTGATATCTTCAGTAGCCTCCTATGTATGTGAAAGCTGGACAATGAATCAGGAAGACTGTAGAGGAGTTGATGCATTGGGATTGTGTTGTTGGTGAAAAATATTGGACTGCCAGAAGAACAAACAGATTCGTGTTGGTAAAAATACATAGAAGCCAGGATGGTGAGACTTCGCCTCTCATATTTCAGACATGATTCCAGGACCGATTAGTCCTTGGAGAAGGACATCATGCTTGGTAAAGTGGAGGGTCAGAGAAAAGAGGAAGCCCCTTAACCAGTGAAATGGGCACAATGACAGCAACGGTGAGCTGCAGCGTATCACTTGGAGGGATGACGAGGCTGGGGTGTCTTTCATTAGGGGGAACATGGAGCTACGATAAGTCCTAACAACAACAACTACAGCAAAGTTCATTGGCAGCCCCTTTCGTTTTTATAGCTGTGTACATAACAAACAAGATGGGTACATGCTTACGTATGTATAGTTACATAGCCATAGTCACAGCCACCAAGTCAGTCCCAACTCCAAGTAAGTTTTCGTACGATTTCTGAAACTGTAACTTACAGGAACAGAAAGCTTTGTCTTTCTCCCATGGAAAAAGTGTTGGGTGGGTTTGAACTGCTGACCTTATGGTTAGCAGCCCAACACCTAACCCAGAACGCCAAGAGGACGCCTTGTGTTAATACAGTTTCATTGTTGCTAAGTGCCGTCGATTTGGTTCCGACTCATAGCCATCCTGTATAGGGTTTCTAACAAGTAACTGGTGGGTTTGAATTGCCAAACTTGAGGTTAGCAGTCCAATGCTTATCCTACAGCACCATACCAGAACCCCTTTATGTATGTTCTATAAATGTACAGACAGGTGGATACATGCTAAGTGTTGATCAAGAGTCCTGGCTACTATTCTCAGCGCTTGGTCCTGTAGCACCCTGTGCCTGTGTACTGTCTCCACAAACACATCATGCACATACCTGCTCCACAAATTCATCGGCCCCGCATGTCCAGCTCACGACTTCTGTTCCCTTTACTCCCAGTTCTTCTCTCCCCCATCACAGAGGTGCCCATTTTTTCCTTCGAGCAGATTACAGCCCCCCTAACGGAGTCGATTCCGACCCGTACCTGATAACCCTGCAGAGGGTTTTTGAGGCAGTGACTCTGTACTGGAGTAGGTCGCCTCATCCTCCTCCCGCGGGGTGGCTGCTGGGAGCCACTGACCTTCAGTGAAGAGCCTAGCACCTAACCCACAGCATGATCAGGGCTCCTTTTAGTTCATCATTCACGGTGACCCCAAAATCAAATCAGTAACAAGAGATTACGTGACATTTTACTTTTGTTTTAGTACTGTGCTTTGATGTGTATTTGTTACAAACTGATGATGCGTGGGTAACATTTCTCATTTCTTCTTATGTAACTTTCTATCACTAGGAATGCGCAACAAACAAACAAAAACAAACACAGAACATTTCATCTTCCAATTAAGCTCAGTGTGGTGGTGGTTATGTGCCGTGGAGTCAGAACCCACTCATAGCGACCCTGTACAAGGTTTCCGGGGCTGTAAATCTTTATGGCAGCAGAAAGCCTCATTTTCTCCCTCAGAACCACTGGTAGTTTCGAACTGCTGACTTTAAGGTTCGCAGCCCAATTCGTAACCACTATGCTAGCAGAGCTCCTAATTAAGCTCAATAGATAACTTATATTTCTAACTTTCATTTGAAAACATCAATGAGAAATCTGATTCAAGGATGCGAACTTTTGGATCCCACCTAGTCCTGGTCCTTGTAGGGTCTTTTCTGGAGCAAGCTCTCAGCCTGTGACCCCTTTTCCATCTTGTCACCATCAAGCCCAGGATCTCCCAGGAACACAAAAGCATCTTCTGAAACTAAGTGATAAAAGGCTACTTGATGTTATTGCTAACCAAATAATGTTTGTTATAAAATCACATGAAGGGGTTTTGAAATCATCCCATGTGGAAGTTATTAACAACATCAGTATGATTCGTGAACCAGATGTTCCTCTCCTTGGCATGTACATTGCTCTTACCCTTGGTTTGCTCTCTCCCTTTAGGAATGGCAAAACTCTATTCAGAAGAATGCAGGACTGGCCTTTATCGAGCTCATCAATGAAGGAAGGTAATGATTGTACAATCTTGGAACAAGTAGTCAGTGTACACTTTGTTCCAGTGGGCAAGTGCTTCCTCTGCCATCTGTCCCCCAGAAATATGCAGGAAGACCTTCTGATGAGAGAGTGTATCGTGCACCACGTCAGCTTTAAGCTGGCAAATCTTCAAATGCTAACCGATTCTTTTCTGCAGGAAGAACATGGCACACAGTAAATAAAGGAGCAGGCTTTCTCGTGGTTTTGTGAGCTCTGAGCTCAGGGTATAGTTCTTTTACACAGATCGAGCGAGCCCAGTCTGCAGGCCCATCTACCCGTCCATCTGCTTCCAGAGCGGTGCTGACTGCACCATGGGCCGGTCCTCGCTCACATCTAGAGCGGGATGTGAACACTCCAGCCCTCCCTGTCTGTCCCACCAAAAACGTGAAGGAAGCGCAGCTTGCTAGAGAATCCACAGATCCCACAGACAAAACGATGTCACAGCAAAATGGCGTGTGAGCCCTCGTTTTTGTCATCTCTTTGTGATAAATTTGCTGCCTGGGATTTTCTCGGTGGTTTACTGGCAGTGAACACAGTAAAGCGAAGGTCGCTGCCTCAGTGACATTTAAGAGCCATGTCCTCTGCAGCTTGCTTTCTTGTGTCCCCGTGGCTAGTGCAGTCTGGGCGGGATCCGCTGAGTATGTTGTAATCTCTGATTTGTGAGGCTACTCACTTTCCTGGCAACCAGATTTAATTCAGTTCATAAGGAGATAAACTTGTCTTTAATGAGGAGGGCTGAGAGAGAGTATTTTACAAGATCTCCTTTGAAAATTAGTTTATAAATGCTATAAAACCCCATTTTTTAAAAACGCAAAGTTGATTTCCTTTGGTTTTCCCCATCTTGATAATATTTCCTGGAAAGAAGGCTCTGTCCTTAGAAAAAATTGCTCTTATTGAATATTTCTGATTTTGATAAATCATGACCTCACTGTTTTTTTCCGCCATAACATAGTAGATATAAACTGTGCAGCCACATACTCAGGAAAATAGCCATTTTCTTTTCCAATACATAGAATCTCTCATCAGAATAGCACTCAGCAGCTCTTGTCAGATCTCATTGTGATAAGAAATGGTAGTCATTTTTTTCCATCTTTAGGAGACGAAGAGATTAAAAAAATTTATTTGTAAGGCTGCTTACTGTAAGATGTAGTAGCAGGAGAAGTTGGCTCATTTATTTCCACTGATGAGGACTGGGGTGCAGTCCTCAGTCAGGACAAGATACTGACTTAGAAAGATGCTGTGACTAATCCCATGGTCCTTAGCTTCTGATACTGTTTTCTTGTTCAGTGGTAAACTGTAGACTTGTTTTGTTTTTGTTTAGTATAAGATGCTGGGAATATAGAAATAATTTTATACACAATGTATTTCTTGAGAGTCTAATTCATAAATTCTCAATAATGCTCTTCGTGTCAAACCTGACTTCGGCTTCCCCTTTCACACCAACCATTTCTCTACAAAGGTAATCTGGGGGAAAGTGGAACATGAGCAGATGTGGATCAGTGGGCAGGAATGTAGCAAGTGTCCAGGCAGTGTCCAGGCAGTGTCCAGGCAGAGCCCAGGCAGTGTCCAGGCAGTGTCCAGGCTGTGTCCAGGCAGTGCCCAGACAGTGTCCAGGCTGTGTCCAGGCAGTGTCCAGGCTGTGTCCAGGCAGAGCCCAGGCAGTGTCCAGGCAGAGCCCAGGCAGTGTCCAGGCAGTGCCCAGCCAGTGTCCAGGCTGTGTCCAGGCAGTGCCCAGGCAGTGTCCAGGCAGAGCCCAGGCAGTGTCCAGGCAGTGCCCAGCCAGTGTCCAGGCAGTGCCCAGACAGTGTCCAGGCAGTGCCCAGACAGTGTCCAGGCAGTGCCTAGCCAGTGTCCAGGCTGTGTCCAGGCAGTGCCCAGGCAGTGTCCAGGCAGAGCCCAGGCAGAGCAAGCAGGCAGCCTGGTCGGAGCTGGGGCTGGGGCAGCAGCTGAGACAGCCCTGCTGTGAGGTCTTGGTAGAGACAGGCCCATGGCAGGGTGGTCCAGGTACCCATGCTCCCTAGTCTGCTGGGAAGACCCTAGAGGAAGGCCATCTTAAATGAGAAGGACGTGATGATCAGCAAATAGCCACGTGGGAAAAAATTCAATTAAAAAACAGAGGAATGCGATTCTGAGCAGAGGAGTCCCGGTGTGGCGCGAGAGGTTAATGCACTGGACTGCAAAGTCAGTCTGACTTCAATGTTGGCGGTTCAAGTTCACTAGCTGCTCCATGGAAACCCTATATAGGGTTGCTATGGGTAGGAACGGACTCGACGGCACTTTACAGAAACAACAACATTCTGAGTAGAAGGAATAGTGTAATGCAGAGGACTACTAGAAGCCTCAGAACGTAAATTATGGTGTTGGCAAATAATATGGAGTAGAGCACGGACTGCCAGCAGATGAAGAAATCTGTGTTGGAAAAGTGCAGGCGGAACGCTCCGTAGAAGCAGGATGTGCAGCCTTCATCCCACATACTTTGGACATGTTCTCTCTCAGGAGGAAGTAGTCCCTGGAGAAGGACATCATGCTTAGTAAAGTGGAGGGTCAGTGAGAAAGAGAAAGACCCCCAGTGAAGTGGAGCGGCAGTGGCGGCAGCAGTGGGCGTAAACAGAACAATTGTGAGACTGGGGCCGCTCTGGGCGGCGTTCCCTTCTGTTGGTCATGGGTCATGGGGTCATTGGAAGTCAGAACTGACTCAGTGGTTCCTAGCAACAACAACATGTGTCTGAAAAGCTGTCTTGACTCAGCCAAGGACTGTTCCAGTTTGGGCTGTGTGCCAGCCACATGGAGCCAGCATCTTGTCTTTAAGACCCTATTAGCAAGGCCAGGCCACAAGGGCTCGTCGGCTGTGTGTGCTGTGCTGGGGAGAATGGAAACGCAGTAGACAGAGCAGTGGTGTGAGTCAGTGTGCCTTTGTAAAAGCCTGCCGGGCATGCAGTGTGGCAAATGGACGCTCGGCTTCAGAGCCAGAGCACGGATAGCCAAGCTTTCAGTCATCTTGTTGAAGGGGGCGTTGTCATGGACTGGTAGTGACCCCGAGGATTGGAGAAGTGGACGAATTTGGGAATTCAGTCAGTATAACTGAACGTTGGGGGCGGCGGGGGGTGGAGGGGGAGGGAACCCCTGGATGGGCGTGTAGCCCGGGGCACTGAGACTGAGAGGCAGCATGGAGAGACATCCCCACCCCCAGGTCCACTCCATTTGTGTCACCTGAGAACTGTCCGAGGGGAGATACGGAGTGTCCAGCTGGTATGTGGGTCTCGGGCTGTCTAAGAAAGGATGGAGAGGGCAGTGCAGAACTTGGTCTCCATCTGCGTGCCGAGCTGTAGCTGAGGATGTAGAGGTGTAGATTAGTGTGTGGGTCTCAAAACTGATGGCGCACTGGTGAAGTGTTTGGCTGCTAGCCACAAGGTGGGCTGTTCAAACACACCAGCTGCTCGTGGAGGAGAGATGAGCTGGGGTGCTCCCGTACCCATTCAGAATCGGAGAAAGCCTAAGGCGGCAGCTCTTCTCTGTCCCCTAAGGCCTCTGTGAGTGGGTATCACTTCCGTGGTAGTGGGAAGGGTGTTTCGATGTGGGTCACAAGCTGTCCCCAGAAAGCAGGGATGGGGGGATCCAGAGCTCATTGTGAACCTACATGGCCCTCGATAGCCTAGTCATGAAGATCGGCATGTGCCTCCTGGAACACAGAGCACACACACACACTGTTGCGGTACACTTCGGCACACACTTGTCTTTCACTTTCATGGCACAAAGTACTATTTCTAATGGTCAAACGTGAAATAAAACACACACACACATTTTCTCCCCATTGTTAGAATATCAGTCTTTAATTTGCTCTTGTGGGAATAAAGATAAGAATCTTTAAGTGGAAATTGTTATAAATGTTTATCCTACTTAACAGCTACACTTGTGAATATAATTCATCAATCATCGCTGGAGAAAGCAATTGTGCACTTGTCTCCAATTAACAGACAAAACCAGTTGATGTATGTGCAGCTGATTAAAGTGCTCCCCAGGACAGACTGGAATGATGCACTGGATCATTTAAAGGAATCTAACAAAGGGTCTTTATAATTAAAACAAAGCAAGGGTAATGGGATGTAAAATTGCCTATAATATCTTGGCAATAATAATTGGATTTTAAATTATTAAAATGTGAATTAAAGAATGAGGTAAACGAGCAAGCTTTTTAAAAATTATGGGATTTGAGTGTTCCTTTGAACTAAATGAATGGTTTGCCTAAAATAAGCCTTTATCACTCTTTTGAAAGCATCTCTGATAATAATTCAATGACGATCAGCCTGAAAAAACAAAACCCAGATGTATCCGCGTCTATGCGGATGCAGTCCCTCCAGATGGCATGGCTGCAACCGCAGTGCCCTGTTGCCTTTAAACAATTGAACGTGGATTTTACTGTTTTACTTTTGATTTTTGTAAAAGCATATTTAAATAAAAGTCATAACTTCCAAAGCTGAGAGAGAAAGAAAACTTCAATATGCACATTTTTTGGTAGAGTTGAGATTCTGATTTCATTTTGAACCAGGGCTCCTTAGAAACACCCCAAAACAGGGCGCGTACTCTCCTTGTGTTCCCACGAAGGACTGCACCCATCCTTGTTCCACATGTTTCTCTGACTCATTTAATTCCTGCCTTAAATCAGTACGTAAAAAGGTCAAACACAGAAGAAGAATCTTATGCTTTACAGAATTGCTTGTTTGATTGTATCTAATTTCTCAATACTAACTTTAGAGCTTGACAATAAATACAATGTTATTTATCTAAAGTTAGGATAAGCAAATCTCCTTTAATAATTGCTACATTTGAAATGGTTTGTTCAAACCAATCTGTGTTGGAAGAAGTGCAGCCAGAGTGCTCCTTGGAGGCTAGGATGGCCAGACTTCGTCTCTTGTTTCTCATACTTTGGTCGTATTGTCAGGAGGGACCAGTCCCTGGAGGAGAGGGTATCATGTTT